GATGAAGATGATTTAATAATATCCTTAATAAGTTATAATTTATGTAAATCTAGTATATTACTTGAACACACAACAAAAGAATATAATGAATTATATATAAATTTAATGGAACGTAATTATAAATTAATAACTAAAACTCATGCATATGCATCATGTTTATTCATGAAGTTGATTTAAATTCATATGATATTTTATTATCATTAATTAAAGATGATAATTTAACACAAAAAATTATATCAATTAGTCTTGAAAAACTTTTAATAGTTGGTCAATATCCCAAAAATGATATATGGTGTTAATACTTTCACGTATTTATACATTATTACAACGACCAAATAAAAATACAAAATTCATTAAATAATGAACATGTTAATAAAGAACAAACAATAATTGATAGTTCATCAATAATATCATCATCAGATAATATTCTTATTGAACTTGTTGAAGAATTATATGCACATACAAAACAATCATCAACATTACCATATGAAGCTTTACTTTTATTACGTCCTTTATCATTATTACTTGCACACATTAGTTTTTTTTTCGTGCTTTAATTAATGCACGTTATTCAGCTAAAATTAATGAATGGACTTTATTATCAATGACAAATATTACACAAAGAAAATCACTATGTATGGCTATATGGGGGTTAACTTGTCTTATGTTAAGTGCATGTCTATCACAGGGTGTGAGTGTGGGTGAAGACAAGACCTATAATGATACCCACACCCACACCCTCTTATGAGTAAAATAGAGTGAAATCGTATTTGGGCTGTTGGATGAACTATTTTTTTTTCTGCCTATGGTTAAATATTCTTCCTAGTTTTCTTTTAAAAAATTATCAAGACTTACACATACAATTAAAATTTATTTGGAAAAAATAAATAGTAAAATATTAATGAAAAACAAAAACTCTTTATTGCAATCCGAAGAAATGACGATCAATACAAAATCAATAAATTTCGTCATGAAATGTCAAAATGAATTTTCATTGATAATATTGTATATCTTTTACTTTTTAAGGTTTTTATTGATGTTATCACGTTTCAGTGCTCGTTTCGAAGAATCAGACAATCGTTTATTTCTTATTGCTGATCAAAAATAGTATCTGCAGGTATATTAAAAGAAAACTTGCAAATATCAATTGTATCAACAAAAAACAAAAAACCTATTTTATTTATTTTAGTTAACGAATATTGAACATTGACGTCAATTTGAACAAGCATTCATAAATGAATCGAATCTAGAAAAATTATATGCTGATTTACTTGAACACATTCAAAATACGGTGTGGATGTAGATGTTGTTTGGATATGTTGATGAATCATATATTCTCTCTCTCTGTCATCCATACCCACACCCTCAATAAAGACTAAAAATATCAATTCATAAAATGGAAACTTAGCAACAAGAATTAATTTATCTACTTTTTTTCTTTTTACTAGAATCTGTCTCTATTATAACAATCATATCTAAATTTTCTAAAACCAATCAGAATAGATTGTCATTTATTTTGTGCTCTAATTTCTGTTTGGCTTATTGATTTATATTTCATATAGTATGTTTTACTATGATTTCAATCATTGATTTAACTAGTAAATAAGTCGATTACATGTATCGATTAAACATATTTTAGCCATTGAAGTTTTAACGAAGACTTTTTTAAACCATGTCGTTAGAGTTTAAGAAAAAGTTGCACAACATCTGGATTAAAACTTGCATTTATAACCAGTACTTTTAATAATATCAAGAAGAATGTGAGTATAGATGTTGATATTCTGTTTAACCACATCTACAATCTTTGAATCGTTTTGGTTTAGTAGATTATATGTAAAAGCAGCTACCATACTTCATCCTATTGAACTGTTTTCTGAAAATCCATTGAAAAGGATAAATTCAAAAAGTCTCGCACTACACAATTGTTTCTTTTTATTCAAATAACAATTCTTTTTTCTTGATTTATTATTCGTACTTTTTATTATTTTGTTATCAATACAAAAAAAATTGAATATTTTAATGTAAAAAGCAAGTCATCATTGACAAGTATTTAACGATAACTATCAGAAAAGAAATCAAACTAACTTCCACAGGTTCGAGTTCAGTTCGATGTCTGACAAACGCGGTATTATCCTATAAAATTATTTTAGATTGTAAATTTCTGAGAAGTTTTTTAATGAAAAGCATAAGTTAAAACTCAACAATACAATCATCAAAATGCATGACTTCATAAAAAATAAATCATAAATAACGAAAATTCGATCATCATTAAAGAATATTCTATAAGCAAATGATCGCACCATGTTCCTGTTACATTCTAAAGATACTAAAAGGCTTGTAAACACATTCTAGAATACTTCAAACATATTTAGATTTTATTTTAAATTTATTTAACTTTTTTAAAATTTATTTTTGAATTTTTGGTAAATGTTTACAAAATGTAAATTGATGGCTTTGCAAAATATTCCATCGAACATCGTTTGATAATCACATATAACGTCACAACTTTACAAAAATGATTATATCTTAGCTAATCATTTTTTTTTCATATGCCTATCTATATTTATTCATTTTTTCAAAATTACTAATATCTGTTTATGGAAGAAGTCGTTGTTCTAATGAATAGTATGATGTTGAATCCTATTCTACTTTCATTATTGAAAATAGGAGAGACGATTAGCTTCAAAACTTTTTTTCTCACAATCTACTTTCGTGATTTAAATTTTGTGTTCTAACTTATTTAACTTTGTTTCAAATATTTTTTTCGTTGTTGACACAATAAACTTTGCATACATGTGACGATACAAAATAAAGAAATTTTTTCTTGTAAAATTTAATTTAAACAGAAAATATATACAATAAGATGTGAGTTTTCGGTTCATCTACAAAGCCATATACTCTACTGTCTAGGAATTCGTTGTATTCTTCACTTTTTCTTCTGGGGAAGTGTTTCTTTTTTTTTTTTTGATTTTGGGACAATCATCAATCCACAGTTACAGTTTGTTGTCTGTCTCTTCTGAATAGATCAATCAATCTCATCCACATTTTTCTAGCTAATAATTGTCATTGATATCTACTTTTAAGAATCATCAGGATCATAAACTCAATCATTCGATTTTATTGTAATATAAGATTACCTGATTTTCTCCAATATGTCATTTCTTGAACTCTTGTAAAGACATCCTTTCTCAGGCATTCGCTATCGACGAAATTCAGAAACTCTAAGATATTATCAGTTAAATCTTCTAATCTTAAATAAATATATTTCTCCTGAATAATTGAAAATTCAGATAAAATTGGAATTGTCTTGTATCGCAAATATTCACTCTATTCGTTAATTAACCTTAAGAAAATCTTATATTTTGTGTTTGAATATTTGGATTATAAATATGTCAAAAGTTACTCAAAAGAAAAAGAGAACTTTGCAAGGTCACGATCTTTAAAATGATGATGCTGAAATCTTGCAGAACGCTGGTAGAAGTAGTTAATAGTTATGTCATTGATTGTTTTAAAAACTATGCATTGAAAACAAAAACAAAAAAACATGTCTGTTAACTCCTACTCAAGTATTCGCTAGTCAGAGAAACATTTGAATCATTAGCCTTAATAGTTATTTCCATATAATGTAGTATTTATACGCAAATTTTTTGATTGCTAGTAAATTTATTAATAAAAATCTTGAACAAACTGTTCAAATTCTTCTGAAAAGTCATGATTTCTATAAATTTACTTATGCGCTCATATAAGAAAAGTGTTTTTTCTTAACTACTGTTTCCTCGTACATTGAGATAAGTCCAGTGAGTGATAAAGTTAATTTCGCCAACTGTTGTCTTTTAAAGAAGACTCATGGTTCCACAGACTACGCATGCCTTTTTCTTTTCATATCGAATATAATTGTTGTTGTTCTTTTCAAGGAACTATTGCCTTTAGTCAATTACTTTTTGGTTAAAGAAGAGCATCAAATTTTGATAGTATTTGATATTAATATTTTCGAAGTAAATCATCAGTTGAGAAGAAAGTTAGAAGATTTACAAAACTTTCACTTTGATCTGATTATCTATAGATGACTGAATCAATTTGTTTGATATGCCTCCTCTATTTCTTTTTTCATAGATCTTTTAAAGTTCTACAAAAGATATCTTTTTCTCTATTGCATTCATATTATCAATTGTGAGTGAATAATTTCATTTTATATTTTTGAGAAAAATTCTTTTTGATAACATCAGTATGTGTTTCACCTCTGCAAGTGTTTTATAGGAGACTTATCATTTCAACGGAATAATATTCATTTATCTAGCATCTTCTATTGAATTTTAAAAAGAACACTAAGATAATTTTAATTAAAGCTGCAAAAATCGTCGAAAAATATATCCAAGCAAGTAGGATATGAGATAACAAAATTCCAAAACAGGAAACTTTTCAAACATAAGATTGTCAATATAAATACCTTTAGGAATATAAAAAATGTTACAAAATTAAAAACATAATCATCTAATATGATGAATATTATTCCATTGAAGCGATAAATTTTGTATTAAATCTATTCAGATAAAAAAAACACATAAAGCTGTTATGAAAAAAATTATTCTCAGTGAAATGTAAGATGAAATTAGTCATTGGAGATTAGTACGATAGGAAAATAACATTGGACTAGATTGATGCATTCTACAAAATTATATATTTCAATCAATGAACAGTTTATAAATTCATTGTCTTCTTAGATTAACTTGTCATATATGTTTATCTACATCAAAATGGTAATGAGACAAATGCTTGTAAGATTTCTTACATCAAACTATCAGCTGTAACTGAGAGTTTCTACACTGAAAAAACTGATTTTGGTGTGGGTGAGTTTGGATGAGGACAGAAAGAAGAGATTCACTCACATCCCACAAAAAAGCTTGTCAAACTCGTGAGAATGTGCGTAGGACACATCTGAAATTCATTTTTCTTTGACACCCGTGCGGAAGATGCAAGAACAAAACTAAATGGTAATTAACAGCAGGTAATTTCTTTATACAGTTATAAATGACTTAGTATTCTAGTGACCATTGATATTTCGTATCTTATATGCATATACACGTTAATTATCGTTCTGTATAAATTAACTTTATCCATGAAAGAGTCTCGAAGATTTACTATATATACAAAATAAAAAGAACAATAATGTTCTAATAAAGGGATATGCAATTGATATTCGTTATCAATCAATGCCCAACTTCATTTATTACTAAGAGATAAATTAGATTTTAAAAAATAACTATGAACATATATGAGGATTATGAAAATTCTGCAGTCAGACGTCTTTTCTACTTGTGCTTAGTTTGAGTGGAGGTCTAGTTTAAATATGTTACTGTTATTGAAGAATGAAATGTTATAATAAGTTTTAACTTTTAAAATATTAATATATAAGGATAAATTTGAAATAATATAATTATTTATTGTAAGAATATTCAAAAATAAAATACATTTCAAGTTGTTTATTTTCGGTCAGTTATATGTGAGAAAGGAAATAGAACAAGATGATAAAGAGAAGAGGAGTTAAAAAATAGCGTTT